CACCTCAGATCAACTGGATCCAAGTCGGATTGAGTAGCTAGTGATAGTGACAGATACCCAGAAAACCATGGGTATGAGAGCCAGAAGAAATCAAAAATCAAATCAAAAGTCACCTATGGTGAAGGAAAGGAGGAGGACTAGACAGGGAGGTCAACACGGCCAAGCGATCTGGAGCACAGGGGTCCCAATCTCCTGAAAGGGTAGTGACCAGGAGAGCGACGGTGGCTTCTCCTTCTCGCAGACATGAGGATATAGAGAGGAGAATGGCCGTATGCCAGGGAAAATGGTAGGAGGACGGTAGCATCCAACAGATCAAAAGGTAACAGGGAAACCCCACGCGGGTCCCAGCTCCTGGATTCGTCTGCTCAGACTTGCTCCAAGGGATGACAAGAAAAGGAAGAAGAAAACAAAACTAAGACACACAAACTCATCCTCTGCTGACAAGTCTTTTCGCTTCCACTGAGCCGGCACTTTCTCTGACAAGTGTTATATTATCTCGTTCTTTACTTATTCATAGTGCTGGAGGGGTAGGACTGTCCCTCAAGAGGAGCTGCAAAGTTTTCTGAAGGAAAGAGCCGAGTTTCTCAATCGGTGCCAGACTCCATTTACAGATTGGTTGCTTTTCTTTCCCTCCCCTGGCCTTATTTTACAAGAAAACTGCTCAAAGTGGGTCAGCGCTCAATTCCCCACACCAGTGAGGGTGAATAAATGCAAGATCAGCTGCTATGTGCCAGCCTTGGAGAAAGATTTCTTTTAAAACGGCTCTGTCTCTCCATGAGAAGGTGAATCGTGGTCCCCACCAACAGTTATGGGCGCCTGGTGTTTTCTACTCCCCACCTCGGGGAGGCACCGTTAATCCTTCGTTGGTGTTTGGGCAAGACCTTGCTCATCTTGAGGAGGCTCCAGGTCACGCTCACTGCCACTTAGGTAACCAAGGGCATTTCCTACCTCTTCCTTGGGGGTGACACTCAACGGCAGTTGCGTCTGCCCTGTTCGCCCAATCCCATCAGCATCTCCCTTCGACTGGTTTTGCAAGGAAGGGCATCCTCCTGCCATCACCCTCATCTACAAACTCCAAGCAAGACATGTCAAGGTGCAATAACTGGACCCCAACAGCCCTAATGGAAGAAGCTCCAGCTCTCCCGTTGGACTTTCTATAAGCCTACAGCACCCTCAACCCCAGAAAACACCGCTGGGTGCCTCTCAGCAAGGTACAACAAATCTGGACTTGCTTACTGGAGAAATTGGTCAGCTCCTGGTCATGTCTGCTCATACCAATTGAGCCATCGAAAAAGGCAAGGTGAAGGGTCTTCTTCATAGAAGAAATAGAGGAAAGAATGCAAAAAATCGCCAGTTCTTGCTAACGCAGTCAAAAATCAACATGTCCCGTCATTCACGGCGACTCCGTCACGTCAACTCCTTGAGCCCTCTCCTGGCCACCACGGGTTCAAGCAGGGAGACAGCAGCCCCGCGTGAGATCCAAGCGATGACCAACCACAATGTCAACGGGAGAGAATGAAATTTGAGGCAAGCAAATGAGCGCCTTGCCGAGCAGCACGCCTGCAAAGCAGAGCGAGATAACGGGGAGGAGTGAAGAGGAGAATCAATAAATCTTAACCTCATTCACAACGATCTGGAGCTCTTATTAAGTAAATTAATTTAAGTTAATTTAACTCGATCATGACTCCCGATCACAGTGATTTAGTGAGGGGGAAATTGCATTAGGAAAGGCCACACTCACTAGATAGAAGAACGGAAGAAAATTAGATCCACTTAGCAATGTGAATTAATATGGAAATAGCAGGTGTAAATTTAACCTTATCAAGAGAGTGAAAATTATCTTCATAAATTTGGAGGAATAGCCCCCGAGCTGCTTATAAATCTATTTAAAACAAAAATATTACAAAAAGTGCAGTAAAATTAATTTAAAATATACTCCCACCTACCGCCTCCGGAAAAGTCAGCAGCGGGCGAAGTTGAATACGATCCAGCAATATGGGGGGAAAGAGCCATGGGATTAGCACAGGGAACCAGTGGGATCGGCAGCGACTCATCCTACTGCTCCCATTTCCCAGGGATGTATCCATCGTCATTGCCAAGCCTACGGTTCTGGGGGAGTTTGAAGGCTAAGTGGAGCTTGTAGGAGACGCCTGTCAAACCAGATGCATTCCTGGATCCAGGAGCATCTTCCAGATCACCATCTTCCAAAGCTGGTCCACACGCTGCATCCTCAGCCAGGAGAGAAGTGCCTTTGCTCCCAAATATCTACAATCTGACTCAACCAGCCACGTGGAAAAACCAGCTCCCATCCCAACGCTTCGGTCCGTGTTGCACATCTAAGGGGATGCGAGTGACAACGGAGCAGGAGGAAAAACAGGGAAAAAAGCCAGGGAGAAGCCCTTGCCACGTGTTTTCCCTGGATGATGGATCGCGCGCAACACAGGTAACGGCCAGACTGAACACACAGATTTATTGCTTCTTGAAAATATAATTGTTTTAATTTGCTGATGGCATTTTATCAAGATTTGCCCGAAGCGGCCATAAGATCTAAAATCGCCTCATTTAATGAAGTCAAAGATTAATATGGATAAAATTACTCGGTGAGCAAGGGCTCTCAGCAGGACGGCGCGATTCCTGCTCCGGAGAAATCCCGATTGTGGCTCAAAACCCCTTCCCCTCCCATCACATTTCACCGGCTGGGAAAGCCAATGGCAGAACGTCCTCTACTAACCTAAAGTGGGGACAAATTCCCCTTGTAGGAATAACACCAGGATGATAATGGGGCTGGATGAGCTCAGCCCAGCTCATATTTTCTCTTTGGGAGGCCCTGGCGAGTGAAACGTTAAATGCAGAGAGACTCTGAAGCAGCAGGTTTGTCCTCACTAAAAGCAGAGAGAAAAATCAATCTTCTCGTGGTTTTTCCTGACAAAAGAGAAAAAATTGCAGCAAACACAGCAATGGTGGGAAAAGGGGCGTTGCAAGCATGAAAAGATAGGAGCAAACACCTCCATGAAGGGTCCTCCTAGTGCAAGATGAACTGCTCTGAACTGCTCTGAACTGTCAGGTCAGGACCAGGAAAAGGAGGTGCTTCCCAGACCAGCAAGGATGAGCTTGAGGTCAATAAGGGATGGGAGCACCCATTGAGGACAATATGCCTAAGGTCATCCGAAGGGTCTGGAGGTACCATCAGACACCAAAGAGATGGCCAAAGGTAAAGAGAGGAAGGTTGGGCTGAGGAGAACCCCATTGTGAAGCCATCACCAGGAGAAACTCGTCCAGACGGACGTTACATGAACATGAGAACAGGAGAAAAAGCTTCTTGGCTGCAAGGGTGACAGAAAACAGGCTGCCCAGAGAGGCTGTGGAGTTTCCATCCTTGGAGATATCCCAAAGCCACCTGGAAAGGCGCATTAGGAGCCTCTGTTTGAGCAGGGAGTTTGGACTACATGGTCTCCAGAGATCCCTGCCAACCTCAACCCTTCCATGATTATCAGGGTAATTCATCACCAAAGCACATCAAGACTCAACGATGGCAGCAATTTTACATGTAACCCTGGAGCTAACCTGAAAAACATGAACCCGTCAGCGCTCACCACATTTCTAAAGCCATTTCCTACTTTTCTCCCCTGCCCTCGAAGCATCTGCCACCAGCAGAGACCGTCGCCGGGGGAGTGACCCGAAGCAGAGCCAGGATTATCCCTGCGCCGCAGAAGCAAATGGGAGGAGATTACAAGCTGCGAGAAACAAATCTTCATTTGCACACAAAATACCAGGCACTGTAATTACCAGCAGCGAATTATGAACCTCGGAGAAGCAATACAATTTCAGAGTTCACCGTAATATACTTGTAAATTCAGGAGGCAAAAGCCATACTTTAAAACACAAACGCAACAAAAAAAGAACATGCTTCTATTTTGGCTAAAGAAGCAGGAGAACAATTAAGTGCTGGATGGGCTGGCTCTCTATCATAGTGCAACAGCACCGGGCAAACCAGGACTCTGCCTGGCAGATAAGATACAAACATATGTTACGTTGGTTCAATGTAAATGCAAGGGCATGGAGGAGGAAAAAGCGAATTTGGGGGGTTTTGTGAAAGCAAAATGGACAATTTGGAGAAGAATTAGAGGAGATGTGGGGGTCTGAGGATTAGAAAAAAAAGGTGGAAGGATATTATTACACCAAAATGAAGAAAACGAGGGAAAGCCATATTGGAGGAGAGCCAAATTCTCCTAACCCAGCAGGCTGCCTCTGACAAATTGGCACTGCAGGAGGAGCAGGATGCCAGGAAAGAGCAGCAGTGGAATAACCCCCTCTCAGCCTTCTCTCAGGAACAGCCCTGATCTGAGTTATGGCCAAAACCATGAGTTCTGAGCGTGAGTTTTGAACAGCATCATCAAGACACCCTTTAGTCATGCGTGAGTTCTATATTTTGCCTTGGTATCTGAAATATTCTTTGGTAACGCGCTCTATAGGTAATTATGGGTCAAGTCTGGCAACCTGGGGGAGCTGAGCGGTCCTCTGCCTCTAATATGCTTTCCATAAGCTCCTTCTTGGCACCCATATACATTATAACACTATGGAAAGGAGGGCAAGCCTGGTCTTGGTAGCAGGCTTGACCCTTCTACAAGACTTGTTTATCCCCAAAACAGGCAGCAAGTCTCCTTAAGTGGTCTGGAAAGACTCGTATGCTTTTATGCAGCTTCCTTATAGCTAATTTAAGTGGTTCATGGAAACAATTCAAATGGGGAATAAATACAGAGCAACAGGCCGGGATAAGCTGTTTGCCACCGGCTCAGCTCGGGCTAACGTGATTACTAACAAGATTTTACACTTTAAGTCAATAAATTCTGCACAGAAGCAGCTAAACAAATAGAGAAATTAAGTCATTCTTGAGATTCTTACACCACAGGAATATAACAGAGGGGAGGAGTGAAGCCCTTGAAGCCAATGGATCCTTGGTCCCGACTCATGCTCATCGGTGGGACCATCAGGAGAGTTACCTGGATGTCGCAGGGCGCCTCGTCTTCCAGGTGGGAACAGGGCTGGTGAAGGATGATGAGGAACCCACGGAAGCCACCACGTTCTTCTTCACTATCCTATAGCGCGTCTTGATCACCTTGCTGCCCGGGGGGCTGCGGACAAAATGCACGTTGGCCCCTGCAAGAGAGTAGAACATGGGAAAACAGGACTGAAACTGAGGGGCACGTTGAGAAGAGGAGGACAAGGGATCCACCCAACTCCATCCTAGGGAGAAGAGCAGCTGCTCCGGCTTCAGCCAGCAAACAGATCCCCCCCAAGACAACACCTCCATCCCCAACATCCCCATTCAAACCGGATCGATGCGTTTACTCATGCCCCTTTTTCCGTAGCGCTCAAACCCTGCGCGCACTCGACTCCGGTTCGGCCCCGCTTGATAGCCGGCGATTTTTTTCCGTGGCTTGAAGGAACGCATCTAATTGCCCGACTTTTATAACATACAGCTATAACTGCCCAGATAATTAAAGCTGACACGACACGCTGAGCCCAAGTCCTCTGCTTTTATAACTGATTTAAAGGGGGCCGCTGTGCTTCTTGCGGAGACTCTCATTAAAATTATCGCCAGGTTCAGAGCCAGGGGGAAACCTGGAATTGTTATTTCCCCTGAAAACATTGGACCCATCCCGTGTTGCAGAAGGGAGCACAGAGTCGCTTCCCAAGTAAAGTGATATTAAATAAGGGGCTGCCTCGGTGTCTAAATGCAAAAAATAAAAACAGTGACCGCATTGCAGATTTTTCCCTCTGCTTCTTCCTGCATGTCCAGTTTCAACTGAGCTCCTAAGGGAAAAATCCACCTTTTGCAGCATGGATTTGTACTGCCGAGGAGTTAAAACCGCCGCTGCGGCCTCACAAAGTCACAGATTTAGCCTCCTGCTGCCAAAGGAGCTTCCCATGCTCCGAGCACAGGGGAAGCGAGGAGGAGACGTCGCGTTGCCAAGAAAGACACCCCATTCCGAGCCACCTAATGTTGGGATACCCGTGAACGTCCAGAGCTTTAAAAGTGAGGAAAGAAAAAGAAGGGGGAGGAAAAAAAGGACAGAAAGCAAATTAATTTTTGCCTTTTCTTTAAAAAAATCACTGTTTCCCAGACTGGAAACTTTTGCATTAGACTTGGGCACCCCCCCTTGCCGCGACCTTGCAAAATTCTTAAGAGGGTGATTACTAAAATCTGCCCCCCAATGTTATTTTTATTTTTCGGATCCCTTTTCAAGCTCCAGCTGTGGCAACTCCACGTGGACCCCGTTCAACTCCGGCAGGAACCAGGTGCCGCATCGAGACGTGGGCATTACCAGTGTCCCGAAAGAGCCTCTCCCAAGAGCTCGCTCCTATTATGACTTGCTAGCGGAGGGGTTTTGTGTAGATAATCATGTTATTTAGATAGGCGGGTGGTTTAATTCCCTTCATTACAGGCTCCCGGGGCTGCAATTTTTCTCCTTCTCTCTTTTTTCCCCCCGCCGCGGGATGTATTCCCCGTGTTCCGCTGCAATCCCGGCCTCGCCGCTTTTATTGCCAGCAATACCCCGGCGTCCCCCGTTATCAGCCCCGCGCACGCGCCCGCAGGTCACTCCTAATGACTAATCGATCTCATTAGCTTTCCTAATTAAAAACTTTTATGGCCATGCGGGAAGACAAACTGCAAAGGGGAAAGAAAAGAGAGGAAAGGAGGGGGAAAAAAAAATTCTGCTTGCATCATTCGCCAACGGGATATGAGCCCCATTCATCAGCCAGAGCCGGCACCCGCGCTGCTGAGCTGGTGCTTTGCTCCTGGTGCTGCTGGAAAAGCGGGATCTGGATGCGCTTCCAAGCCTCGCTTCACCCAGTGTCCTTAAATCCCACAGGGAGGCCCTAGGCTCCCCTTACAGCCTCTCCATCCATACGGAATCATCCCTGTGGTGCGGGAAATGCTGCTAAAATTCCCATTTCTCCTCTTGCAAGACGTTGCGGCATGCCTGGAGAGAAGGGATGTCCTGGCATGCAAACAGGAGGGAAACCTAGAAATCCTGCAAGTTAAAAACCCTAAATCCCATGTGTTCTATCTCATTTTTCCCACCTGCAAAACAGGGGCCTCGGATGACGTAGGTTTCAAGCTACACTTTTTTAAGGGAAAAGAAAAACAAAATAAGATGTGGTCAGGTCCGTTACAAATCGTTGCAAGATGTGATGTGCCACGTATGTTTTTTTTCTCTTCTTTTTCCCAAAACGCTGCAAATTGTAAAGCATTCAAGCAGGTCAAGAACAGCGGTAGTTTTTCAAAGGAAAGAGAATAACCCCAAGCTGGTTTAGCACTTAAAATCCCTAAGTCTGAACCAGATGTTGCCAGGAGGGGTTGCAGGAACTTATGGGAACGGTCAACAACCATCGGGGAGACGGGACACGACTCCAGGCACTGCAGCAGGCACAGGTGACACCGGGTCTAAGTGGCATCATTAAGGAGCAAATGACCTCAACAAGGCAGCCTGATCCGGGTGAATAAAACTCAACCAGCACCCACACGGCGCGACTCGTTTCGGCATCGCACCGGAAACTCCTGCAAAATTCCCGCGTGGAGCAGCCCCACAGCTTTTGTTTTGCGTCCCCGCTCGGCCGAGTCCCCGGAGCTGACAAAAGGCTCTGGGATTACTGTAATACTGTTACGAATTCGGTGTGAAAGCAGCCGCCGGTATCAGGGGGGTGATTACCGCCGAGCATGTTCAATATGTTCGCGCAGAATGGCGCAGCAAGAGGTTAATTATATTGCTCCGGGAATCTGCTTCCAAAAGGACCGGCCTTCAGTGGCGGAGGGGGGAATTTAATTTTCCACGCTCGTTCGCTCCCGAGCTCTTGCGGGAGGAGGCAGCTACTTAGGCCGGCGCGTAAACGGCGGTTTATGATCACGAACGGCAGCTTAAGAGGAATTAAAGGCACCCGATGCAAAGCGCTTTCTACCTGTGAGGCCGACCGAGGTTGCCGTGCTGCAACGCTCAACGAGGACAACGGGAGAACCAGCTCTGCTGCTCCAGCGTTTTGGGTGGTTTTCAAGTGGATTCTCCTCTTTTTCTAGCACGGCCAATGCTTCCAGCTGGCAACGTTTGGGGAATTGATTCCAAATTCGCTTCACTCAACTCCTTATGTTGAATGGAACACAAGCAAGGATGGAGCAACTCATCGTTGGTGAGCGGGGCCCTTGCTGGAGAGCAAATCCAAGGAGATCCTCATTTTAGCAGGGAAGGTATCCAAAAAATCCACATATATTACAAAGATAGACTGTATGCGCCCACCAAATATTAATGGCTTTTAGTAAGATCACCAGGATTTCTGATTCCTGGAAACGTGGACACAGCAAAGGATCTCATGAAGGTTGTTGTGGACAGTCTCAAAAACTCACCCAGCCAAAGCAAGCAATAACACTTCCAAAAACAGTTTTTCTGAGGAGCTTCTCATTGAGCTTTTTTGGCAATAGTCAGACTTGGATTATGGTGCTGACCTGCAAGAGGGAAGGAGTAAAGTCTTTGTAGGATGGAAACTGGAATGATTAGAGGGTTTTTCCAGATGAAGTCCAATCATCTCTGGTGAGACACAGCTCCCCTTTCACCAAATAGCTCAGGATCTGTTTCAAAACATCATAGTTCTTGAAAATCCCCCAATTCCTCTGCTCAACAGCAGTCTGGCCATCAGGCAAGTCCAGGTAGGTCTGTCCTGCAAGAACGTGTTTCTGGGCTTCAACCCTGGAGAATAAGGTACCTTGTCCTGGACCTTCAGGAGCTGGCACTCGCCTTCTCATTGGTGCTACGTCACAAAAAAAATCAACCAATTTCTGGTGGGATGACTGAATCCTCAACAAGATCAAATGTCCTTCCATAAATCATTTTTCCTCATTTATCTTCTTCACTCTGTCCGGAAGCCCTCAACATCTTTAGCATCCCACACCTCTTGCAGAGTCCACTACTGGTGAGCGTTTCTCCAGGTACCAGGGAGGACCCATCAAACCAATCCATGCCAACCTCATCATGCATTGAAGCACAACACCGGTGACATCAGTGCTACGTTTGCACAGGGATGACATAGTTTGAAGGCCATTAGACAGGTACAAAGTTTACCCAACACAAAGAAGAGTATCTCTTGCTCCTTGCTTAAAAATGATCTCCCGTTGACTGGGTTTCTAACCTCCACGGTGAAGAAGAACAAGCTACTCTGCACGGAGATGCCGTATGGACCAAGGGCTGGATTTTTCCATGCCTCACATACCTTGCTGCTGTCCTACGTGTCTACAAAGAGCTGGATTCTGGCACGGCCTCTACAGCTCAATGGTCAGGCTTGCAACTTGGAAGAGGTGAGCAGCAAAGATCCGCCAGAACCGCCCTTCACCAACTAAAAAGCAAGAGCATCCGCACATACGTTCATATCGAGGACGCTGGCAATGCGGAGATTTATTGCATCCACCTCTCAGATCTACCTATCCATCTTTCCCGTCAATCCACCCATCTGTCTAATCTCTCCCAGCTCCTCCGTGCTCCTCTACCCGCTCGTCCTCCTTCCGTAGATGGCATCTGGCATCAAGGTAAATAGTCCCCTCCCTGTGCAACACTCGCCAGAAGGCGCCTTGCGTGTTGAACGTGCAGCCTCTCATCCCGAAGACACAAAAAGTCCTTCCCAGTGTTTTCCAGTCGCTTAAATCAGAAGCGGCGGGGCTGATGGATCAGACACCTTTTCCCACTGAGCCATGAGGGGCAGGATTGGGATGAGACCACCTGCCCTGGGGCCTTGGCTTGCCCTTTAATCACAGCAAGAGGCAGGGACACGTTAACAGACCCCAGCAACGCGCTGCTGGGGGAAGGAGGACGACGTCACGCGGCCTCCGCCGCGATCCCCAAGAGGTGGTCGCAGCTAACGCGCTAACCACGCAGCTAAAGAGCCCCGATGGGTCCCCGGAGCTTTGAGCCTTGTTCCAACACAACCCTTATTATTATAACAAAAGAGGAGGTTTTTGCATCTCCCTCCCGCTTCCTTCGGCACGCGGTTATTGATGCGTTTCCAGGAGCCGGGGCCATTCCTCTAAACGAGCCCGGGGGCGGCAGCGGAGGCGGGAGGGAGGCTGATAAACACCCGCGGCCCCCCGGCCTCGCGGCGGGAGCTGCCAGGGG